ATATATTATGCTGCATTCATATATTCATACATGTGTGTGTGTGTGTGTGTGTATTTGAATGCAGCATATTTACATAATTATGGAGCGGGGGTGGGGGTGAGGGTGGGGCTGGACTCGGGTGGAGATTAGCGGTAGTGCACAGCACTCAGCAGGACGACAGCTGTAGGGAACAAGCTGTTCTTCTGCCTGCTGGTGTGGGAACGGAAGCTTCCGGATGGGAGGGTAAACAGTCCATGAGCATGAGCCGAGGCTCAGAGGTTGGCGACGGCCCTCTAAAAGCAGGTCCGTCTGACGGAGGTACCGCCTCACACGTCCCGGGGCGGAGGCCGGCCACGTCCTACCTTGTCGTTACTCTGGAGGTAGGCGGTGACATCACTGAAGGGGATTCCCCTCTTCTTACACGGCACGGCCAGCATGTCCCGTATGGAGACGCCGGGCCGCGTGGCCACCAGTGACGCCGTCCCATCGGGGAAGTACACACAGCAGTACTTCTCCGTCATCCCCAACGCCACACGCTCGGGGTGACCCAGACTGGACGGCTGCATCTGAAGGCGGAGGGTTTATGACCGGCTTTGAACAATTGATGTGCGTTGTCCCGCCCCCAAGCTACATCCTGCACAATGAGGATGGAGCAAACTCTACGTAATTAATACCGTACTTCGCTCCTACGGAAGCTTAAAGTCGTCATCTTTTTAGGCCATTCCGAATTCTGTTGAGTGACATTATCATTTCGAGAGCCAGATTTGCTTATATATTTGTTTATAGATTTAGTTTTATAACATATATATGTTTTAACACCCTCTCGCTTTCCATTCAGGGTAAGAGCACTGCCAAGGTGCAGCAGAAGCTTCCAGAAAAGCCCGCTGAGAAGAACATGCTCACGTCTGATTTGCTGGAAGGAGCGGTCCACTGCACGCCGCTGGATGACCTGGCCAGACTCTGCCGCTCCGGACCCACACAGAGGTAATTATCTCCGATCTCTGCTGCTGAGGAGAGGAAGAGCCGATGTGGACATGATAGGAGCAGACGCAGAATGCAAACTCGCCCTGCTGCTTTTACCCAAATATACAGCTGGTAGTGAACTAATTCAGCGTCTGCAGGTTAACCGTCACTGAGGCTGCTGTCCTATAGGGACTCGAACAAACAGGCCTTCTGTGCATAATTCCCAGGCCTGGGACAAAATTGCTTCAATGGGGCTCCCAAGACATGTAGCCCCTTCCTCCAGGGGCGTCTCCTGGCTCCAGGCATGGGAGAACATCCCCAGCTGGGGGAGGGGGGGCTTAGTGCACTTCCAAGGGCCCCTGTCTAAAAAATTGGAAGATAATTGGACTAGTCTGGGTTGGGGGCCCAGTATGATATGGTTTCATGGGGCCTAAAATCTCTAGTGCCCCCCTGCCCTTGGCACAGCAAGCCTGCTAATCAATCACTCTTGAGTCAAGTTCATGCCCTTAGCCACTATGCCATCGGTAATGGTGACCTATGACCTTCCCCAGTTGTCCCCCTCAGACAGCAGGCCTGCTAACCAATCATTGTCGAGTTACATGTCCATGCCCGTAGCAGTTACGCTAATGCTAATGGTGACCTAAGACCTTCCTCAGTTGTCCCCCTGGGACAGCAGGCCTGCTAACCAATCATTGTCGAGTTACATGTCCATGCCCGTAGCCCTTACGCTAATGGTGACCTAAGACCTTCCTCAGTTGTCCCCCTGGGACAGCAGGCCTGCTAACCAATCATTGTCGAGCTACATGTCTATGCCCGTAGCCCCTACGCTAATGCTAACGGTGACCTATGACCTTTCCCACAGACCACACCTCCCCATGATCCTCTCTTGTCCCATCGTTTCTCCTCCGCCTTCTTCCCAGGGGTTCCTCTCCTCCTTTCCACAGCAACCTCCATACCGAAGGGTACCAGCTTCAGCTTCTTTTTCTGTGGGAATTTCACACGTGTGTCATGCACAGGCTGACGGTGAGCGAATGTACTCAGTCTCACCCCCCGCCGAGTTTCACACCCCCGTCAAGAACTGCATATTTATAATCTATACTGCATGCAAGCTGCCAAATCCTATGCCAAGCATAATAGGAGAGCAGAAACCACTGATCAAAGACTCTGAAAAGGCTTTGCTGTTGTACCCTTAGGTGGAGTATTTAACTGGAACAAATTCAGTAAAACACCCTGTTATGTAAATAAAGAGAATGTGCACAAATCTGTTAAATGACATAAGTTGCAACAGCTAGCATAAGAATGCTACTACCTCTGCAACCTCCTGAGATCCAACAATTCATGTGTGTCCTCAATAGTGGACTTAATATCTTTGCTATTATTATTATTATTACTATACAGGCCACTCCATTAAGACTTATTGGTCCGTAAAAATGACAGTTAGGGTGCGACCTTGTCAACTTCCTTTCAAATCAAAATATTTAATCAATATTGATTTTTTTCCCCACTAGACCTCAGGAGGTCATATGACCCATGAAACTGCTTCTGATTGGTTATCTAAGACCATTGTTGTCAGGCTGGCTCGACGGGATAAGCGGACGGATGGGACGGAGGGTACGTGGACGCCGCCTACGCTCTTGTCGCTGGAGGAAGGGCCGTCCGTCACTTGGCTCCTTCTCGGCTCCGGGCTCTTGGCCGCCTGGCAGGGCTCTGGAAGAGGCCTGCCTTCCATATCGGCCAGCATGCAGTTCTGGTAGATCGGAGATCGCACGAAACGCGTGTAGCTGTCAAACTTCATCAGCTTGAAGATCTGCCATAGTGCAAAATTGGAGGGAATTATTAGTGCGAGACTGCTCAGTCTGTCCTAAATTAATACATCATTTATTAATCGAATACACATGACTTATTAAAACAGGTATATCATAAGAATTCAACAGTGTTCTGGAAGGAAAAAATGAAGACGACAATGATAATGACTAAAATGAACATCTTTTCAAACCGTGGTTGAATGAAACAGTAGAACAGCTGTGAGCATTTTATTCTCTCTGCCAACGTAAACAGAAGTTCCATTTTCTTTTCTCTTCATTTGATGGGTTTTCACCTGGCAGTCTTGACCAGTACCTGTTGCTGAGCTTTGTCAAACATGTTCGGCGTTGGGGACTCCAAGTCTTTTTCCTGAACGCGGGCCGTGTCGTCGATGTTGATGGGGTAGGTGGCGCTCTTCGAGAGGTAGGTGCCGAAGACGGTCCAGGCATCACGCGTCAGCTGTCGCACAGAGGACAGTTCACAGCTACTGCCATCCATTACTATTTATGTCACACTGCTGAACATTTTCTCTTGGCAAATGAATACCCTGACGGTCGATAAAATGCCAAGCACCTCCTCTTTCTGGCTGGCCGGAATCTGCCGGAACCTTTCGCACGCCTGCCAGAACTGGATGTTTTCCACGCTGACCTCTAATTTCAGGAAAGCCTGCGAAACAGAGCATCCAGATCATTTTTATTTATCATGTAACCATCCAGCACGGAAACTGCGAAACATTCATCTGGTAAATAATTCTTAAATAATCATTCAAAAATACAAATCAACAGCAACCCTGGCATAACAAAGAATGACCAAAAATGCAGACAAAACCTTCACTTTTGATTTTTGGTTTTATTTAAATTATGATATTAAACTACGGTGGAGTGTAAGTAACATAAGCTATAAAAACATGTGACACATAATTCCTAAGGCAGTGCTTCACATCCCAGTCCCCGGGGACCCACAGACGGTCCATGTTTTTGCTCCCTCCCAGTTCGCTTACCAGGAGCTGGGAGGAAGCAAAAACCTGGACTGTTTGTGGGTCCCTGACTAGGAGACACCAACCTAAGGCTCTGTGCGGACCCTTCCAGGGGAAAACTTTCAATGCCAGCTAAAATTGCTGTAAATGGTTACTCATGTGCTGCTAATCCTGTATCCATACTCCAGGAAATGTGATGTTCTGCTTAGGAAGCAGCATTTTGATTGGTTTACACATCAGCCAATGGGTGTGCATGTTATTGCCCCCTCGGATTGGGTCAGAGGTCGAGTTCACCGTGAAGTAGCGCACGCCGACGGGATCCGCCAGCAGCCTCTCGAAACTGACGGCCCAGCTGGCCACCGCGCCCAGGCTCTGGCTTGTTCCGCCACCCCCTGCCAGGCTCGAACCCGAGTTCAGGCTGTGACTGCTGCCCCGGCCATCCCGCTGGGCCGCGTTCAGCTCTGTCCACAGAGGAATGGAGGAAACAGCAAGTCATTCCAAAAGTCACAAAGTACGTCACACCACTGCCGAAGAGAGGACAGCGGGGGACCATTATCTCCTCAGCTCTTAGTTTGTTAAGCAAAGTCCTTATCGGCTAGTTAATTGGTCTCATTGGTAGTTACAGATTATTGACTTTTAATTTTAAAAAAATCTCGAAAGTCTGCTGATTCGGAGCGCCTGCCTGGCCACCGTCCCCCCTCACTACAGCAGTGTCTTCGCATTTCAGCCAAATGAGGAAATGAAATCACACTGTAGACGACGCAGGTACTGAACAAACACCCTCAAACACGCACAGTTGACAGTTAACCCTATAGGCGCAGCTGCAACATGTGACCTGCTAAGAGAGTCAATCTAAGATCTCATTGGGCGAAAGACAATGAACCGGGACCAGATTCCCTAGGCCTACTCAAGTACTGCGGCATCAAAATAGCAGCTAATCCTAAGTATAGTACAGACTATGTGCACTTTTTCCATGCTAGTTCCCTCTTCTCTGGTTTGTCTGGTTTCCTTGGCCAGGAACTGAATCCATAATGGAAATCTTACCCCCGTCAGACACCGCCGGGTTCTGCCAAGACAAAAAGACACGAGACAGAGGAATTTCAGCAGGAAACTTACAATTAAGCACCAAAACTGTAAGAGTATATGCAGTGATTGTAAGCGAATGGCGTGGCACAAAGAAAATATACGTGAGAATTAATTCTCAAAGTATAGGATATTAAGGGAGGATTTTACAGTTAAAACGATGGATGACAGCTGGATTTGCTTTGGGATAAAGGGGCTTCAAACTGAAACACTAATATAACAGAAATTTATCATCACTGAAAATCACTATTATGAAAACAGCTGTGGGCTAAAATAGCTTCTTATCACTCTGTGCTGTCCGTAGCACATGTACAAGAACGAGGAAGTACGGCATTTGCAAACTTCTTCTTATCTTTTGAATTCGGAATGTCCTTTTAAAGTGATTTTTCAAAGAAATTTGCAATACAGGTAAAGAAATGTCAAGCATTGCAGTCTGAATCACACTCTGTGACTTGTGCCACAGTGGGATCTTACTGTATAATCACAACCACCCAATGAATAACAGAATATTATAAAGATGTACTTAATCGTTCAGTAGGAGCGCTCTTTCTGTGTCATTACCCGTTAAGTATTCAATATTAATGCCTGAAAAATTACGAAGTCTTACAAAACTGCTGTATTGTTTTGCTATGTTGTGACCATTACCAATGTTCGGTATCGTCACATAGATCAGTGAAAGTGAAAGCTGCTCACATTTGTACCATGCTAGACATAAGCACTCAAATTTGTCACCAGTAGCTATTAAAGTACTTTTAAAAAGCTTCACTAATTATCCGAGACATATTAAACTCTTATACTATTTCAGCCAATTGAAAAATACTGAAGTTCTTTACCATAAGTGGTAGTTTGAAACAAAAATAATAGTAACATAGCTACCAAATTTATATCGCAGCTACAGCACATCTAACAGCGTTAGGGCCAAAAGAGAGCAAAAACTATGACATTTATTCCTAGCAAGCCCAAGTATTGTGCCTTTTAGGGGTCTAAGCAGACACTCATTTTGACTTCACGTTAAAAACACCATCCCACGGCATCACTCACCTTGTCACCATTAGGGACTGCCAAGTTTCTAAATATTTTGGACATAACATCTGCAGGGTCTAAAATCAAAGATAAATTAGCTGTCGATCACTAGCAAAGAATAGTCACTGAAGTAAATAGCCGTCATACAGCTTCCTCACTCGCCGGCCTAGCCGTACTTCCTGCTCGAACAGGAAGTTGTGCCACTGCAAAATGCCACAAAAGGAAGTGTGGGTAATTCAGGCAAACAACGTCTCTTCGTTTTACGTCACTCAGAAATCTGAAAAGGCCTCTCGCTACTGTCACCTGAGCGGCTGTAATGTTTTTCTAAACCAAGAGCAAAGGACAATAAATCAAAATGGTGACACTTCACTTGATGGGGCACAAATAATATAGTATTGTGCTGTTACCTATGAATTATGTCTTATAACCACAAACTAAATGTTACATACTGATCTGTTGTTAATTCATCATTAGTGAATCATGACGCATCTTTTATCTCAAGTAGTGACTATATGTGTTCGTAATTTGTACTTCAGTAATAAATGACTTATTACTAAGTATCTGTGCCCAGTAAAGTAAAATGTCACCATCACTTGGGTTATCCTATACTTACAAGTAATACATATGGCTAGTAAATGTACACAATATATATATATACACACACACTAAAAATACTGTACATGAGAAAAGGGGCGTGGTCATTGAGGGAAAAGAGTCAGGTGACACTGAGGGGGTCCGTTCATTGGTTAAACCTGTCCTTCATTTTGGTTACTGATTGCTCAGTTTTTGTTTTTGGCAGTAGCCTGACCATGTTTTATTTGTCAGTATCTCAACACTCCACACTCATTATTTATTTGTTACTCGCTTGTAGTACTACACATCTATTCATTTCCTGATAAATGACCAATTCTTGTCCTTCAAACACAGTTACCCAAACAGCGTTTTTATTAGAATTCTTTATCCAGTTAACAGAACATATCTTCCAATTATAGTATTGTTATGGTGATGTAATATTTGCTGCTGTCCTCTAATAGCACATATAACAATATCCCTAAGCATCAACCCAGCCAACTACAAACAGCTTATCCAGGTCAGGGTCACTGGGGGGGGGGGGTCTGGAGACTATCCCAGGCATCACTGGGCAGATGGGCACCCTGGATGGGATGCCAGTCCATCACAGGCCATATATGCTCTAACACTATGGGCAATTTAGAGACACAAATTACTCTAACTGCAAATCACTGGGCTGTGGAAGGAAAATGGGAGTACCTAGAAGAAACCTAAAGAACACAGAGAGAACATTCAAATCCCCCCTCATACAGTAGAGGCAGGTTTCAGATCCCCAACTCAGAAGGCATGAGGCGAAAATGCTACACGCTGTGCAAGCCAACCCCCCAACATGCTGGAGAAGTGTCATCTCTGTGGGAATGTCGTGGTTTTACTTACCCTAGTGCAGGGTTCTTCAAATCTGGACCTCGATTCCAAATCCAGGCTGTGTTTTCAGGTCTCCCAGGTAGTTAGTTTAATAATTACTGATTCTGATTGGTCAGAGGCTTCACACCCGGCTCACAGGTAAAGGAAGGCTGGAAAACCAGCAGGGCTCGGACCTCGAGGACCGTGATTTGAATAACCCTGCCCTAGTGTGATTCAGGAGAAAGCTGATGCTGAAGCTGAAGCTCCTATAACTCTCGATGTGCAAAGAGTAACACCTCATGACGCATTGCTCTGCATGACATTGGGTGTGCACCATTGAAATATGAGCATACGTAAGACATATTCGGCAAACGTGAAGAAAGATTGGTATTATATACAATGGTGTATAACAAACATGAAAATTCTTGTATTACACCAGATAAAGTTTCTCTTTGCACAGAATGCAAGTGTAATATTTCATTATTGAATGAATGCTGAAAAGTGACTTATAACCAAATATGGTGACAGTTTAATTGACGGGGCACAAATACTTAGTGTTGTGGCTTGACATAGCGGAGGAGGGACGAGACATGTAGCGTTCCACAGAAAGGGGGCTATTTAATAGAAATAAATAAATACAGGAAAAATGGGAAACAAAGGGGGATTACGAGGGGTCAAAAGACAGAAACAAAGGTAGGGAGCAAGACAGGAACAACCATAAAATATACAACGACTGCAAAGTTACACAGGGAAACAGCCACAATGGACCAACAGGGAGCAGACACTTAAATACACACCACTAACAAGCCATGACACAGGGCAGGCGAAAATCCCAACTCAGTTAAGCAATCAGTACAGGCACAGAACGACAAGACATGGGTGAAATACATTACAATTAACAAACACGGGAAACCGGGGAAGCTTTACTAAACACGGAGGCTACAGCTAGGAAAAAACAGTGCAAAATAAATCAGGGTGTGAGTGTAAAAAGTACAGGGAGTCACAAGACACATCAGGGACTCGGGTTAGATGACAGAGGGAAGAGGATGGTCAGCGACAAAGGACAGGGCTGGACGGTGACCAACCCAGACAACTTAGTAATAACTCAGTTACTACTGAAGTAGAAATCATGAAGAAATCATGAACAAATATAGTTGCTACTTGAGATAAAAGATGTCACGATTTATTAATGATGAACAAACATGAGATCAGTATTTCACTTGTTATTCATGACTGGTTCCTTCAGTAGTTCACAAAGGTTTACAGAATTAACAGATGTAGTAACAAATACAGTAACCGCCGAAGATAAAATATGTCACGATTCATTAATGATTAATTAACATGAAATCAGTATGTAACTAAGACTTAGTTTGCGGTTGATTAATACATAAAGGCATAATACTATATTATTTTTGCCCCGTCAAGTAAAGTGCTACCAAAATATAAATATTTGTGATCAGCGGTGTTTTGAATAAGCACCCCCTCAAATGACGTACACTTAGACAACACTGGGAATGTATTAAAACAAGTATTAGTATATTCTTAAAGTATTTCAGATAATCTTATAAGTGACTTATAGTTATACAACTGCATTTTTGATTTACTTGCTATATTGAGCACTTTAGACACAAGACCGAGATCTAAAAATGAGAGCTAGCAGTTATTAAATGCATTTTATAAAGAAACAGACTATGCTGTGGTATGTCGTATTAATTTGTGAGTGAAAAAGGGACAAACTTGTAAAAGTAATCCCGAAAAACAGCCATTGATCAAAGGCCGGGACCTTAATCTGTGCACAGGTTTGTGGAGATGGCCGCTTATCGTGCAGACAGAAGACGATGTCCATGCTGGAAACATGTCTGTGTGGAATGTGGTCATTAATTAACTGGGTGATGTGAACCACGGCCCATCGTGAAGCAACAGCACAGCCATAAAACACATCACTGCTCTAAAAGACAAATGCTTTGCAAGCAAATACTAACTGTCCCGCTATAAACCGAACTGAAGTAATTAGCTAACAGAGATATATCGAGTTTTCCAGGCATTTTTCTTTCTGACAGAGTTGTATCAATTACCTGTTAAATCGGATTCTGTTTCTTTTAATTTATATTTACATATATTTAGTTTTCAAACCTCGTGTGGGATTTTGTCTTTAACTGCTTTTCTTTTTAGATGTGAATATCACGTCTGTTCAAATATTTTATGAAATAATCATCACGTTCCATCAATTGAATATCTGCCGGTGATATTTAAGATGACATTTAAGATGGTGGAAATGTTGTGTGTCATCAGTATTAGCATTAGGTAGCTACAGTTTTTTTAATGGTCTGATACGGCTGCCAAGATGCTTTCATTAAGACGCTTAAGCACGCTTTGGTTTTCCGTAAAATACTGCAGGCCTGTTAGAAGGATGATGCTGATTAAGATGATACCACGTGCGGTTTGAATGCGCTCCCGTATAATCTGCCATCTATACCTAAGCTTCCTGTATGGTATATTAAAATGCAAGTAACTGCCTGAAATTTCAGCGGTTTGCTTATTAATGTGATATATATCACATATAAGACATATAATACACTATGTAGATTCACCATCTGCTACCCATCGTGAGCTCACTGTCCCATTTCATCCTTCACCAGACCGACTGATGATGTCTGTATGCGATGGACAAATTCAGTCATCACTCAGCTATAAGCTATAATATCTGTCTAGGCTGAGAGCTTAGTGTTTGTGGTGTATTTTGTGAAAGGTCCTTTGACCTTTATGTTACGCCGTAGAGCGCGTTGTGTATGGCGAGGGAATAAAAGCGGACTGCGCCTTAAATTTTTTCTAAAGTCACCTTTACTTGTATAGCACATTTTCGAACACAAAGGTCATGCAGAGCGCTTTACAAAAATGAAATAAGAAATAAAATACGTATCGTTAAATCGACATGAAATATGAAAAGTAGAAATTAAAATCAAAAGAACAAAACATTTAAAAAACAGATATTAACGCTTCACTTGAGGACGTGAATTATGTAGTAGTACAGCTTACTTAATGCATTAACTAATGAGTAACTAAGTGTTTGTTAAGTATTAACCCCATGTTCATTTGTCATTAATTGCTGGTCAGAAACAGAATAATAATATGTTTAAAATTGTACCTTAATGGCCTCCTCTAGTCTGTAAATTTCTTGTTTGTATGTTCTAACAACACTTTAGAATGTTAACCAGCGAGTTTTCTCAGACACACAAACAGACCCCGATTGCTATGCATATTAAAAACGCATAAATACAGGGCACAGACGTCTGTCTGATCGCTTGAGTGCAGTGCACAGCTGCAGAGAAACGTGACGCTTGCTATTGCTAATTGCTATAAGTTTCTTGTATGGTTAACGGGAAAAAGATACCAGGCGGGGTTGAAAAAGTCAGTCTGCTTAAACCAGTGTTTCCCCATCCAGTCCTTGGTGTTTCCCTAGGGGTCCACATTTTTGCTGTCTAGCAGGGAGCAAAAACATGGACCATCCCCGAGGACCGGATTGGGAAAAATTGGCTTAAATAGTTCAATATCTTATTTGTTATTTATTTGTTATCTTCTTGAATTTTCAGTAATACATTTATCAGGATAAGAAGACACAGACTGCATCATCCATCAAAGTTCCTCCAGAACAAAAACAAAATGTGCTGGATTTGGGCATAAAATTCCCAGGCTGGACCCTTCGTGGGCCCACAGCTCTGCTTACCTTGATGTCATTGGAGCAGAAGGACACAGGTGCGAATGAC